TTGATGTGCACATACCGTTGACTGGCCTGGTACATAGGCGCGACAGATGAACCGGCTCCTCGATGGGCGGCCCAAAGCCTATGCATTCTTTCTGGTTGTGTAGAGTGAGGTGTTTCATTTAACTAATCTAGAGGGTTTGATGAATACCATACGTTTTATTTGTGTATGACAGAGTCTTGTGCATTCTTTCTGGTTGTGTAGAGTGAGGTGTTTCATTTAACTGATTCGACGGATTGTTGGATACCGTACGTTTATTAGTATATGACAGGGATATTTTGTAAGTAAATATTTTTCCCGTTCAATGTGATCCGCCACATGCGTTAGATGGAGAGGTGTGTAGGTATTTACCGTGGTATGATTGGTGTCAACCTGCAGCATCCCCTAAAACGTATGGCTGCCAATCACTCAACCGATATCTACTGAAACGGGACACGTAGTATAGTATCATTGCTCAGTCATCCCTACAATAAACTTCGTAGTTTAAACGGGACATGAAGTATAGTATCATTACACAGTCATCCCTACAATGTTCTTCGTAGTCTAAACGGGACACGTAGTATAGTATCATTACACAGTCATCCCTACAATGTTCTTCGCAGTTTAAACGAGACACGTAGTAAAGTATCATTACACAGTCATCCCTACAATGTACATTGTAGTTTAAAAGGGACATGTAGTATAGTATCATTACACAGTCATCCCTACAATGTACATCGTAGTTTAAACGGGACACGTAGTATAGTATCATTACACAGTCATCCCTACAATGTTCTTCGTAGTTTAAACGCGATACTTCGCATGGTATGTGGCACACATGTGTTCCCCTCTGCAGGTGTCCGGGGCATTTGTATCGTATCGTACGCCTTGCTGTGTATATACCAAACTTTCAGCCGCACGGATTCAATACAATACTTGTCTTCCGAATAGACGACGTAAAACACTACTTACTTCCGGAGAAAAGACCCCACATGGCACTTTTAGGGGGGATTTTTTAGATAATCCCTAAACCCTAAAATCGAGGTTTCCACTCCCCAAAATCTTAAACCCTACCTGATTCGACCACTCCACATCCAACCGTTTGAGAGTGTGTGACGCGATGCCTGTGCTTGTCACCCCCCACCCCACCACCACTCCAAAGTCCCCCGGTGAGTCATAGACACTTTCCAGTGAGAGCTCTGAGTGGTATACGTTACAGAGGGAGTAGTGAAATTACCCGGAGGTAAGCGAAGAGACTCAACAGACAACCCACCACATAGTAGAGACGCTGTTCAGAGCACATACATGTGAGGGTATTGATTGGTGCTGTATAGATGCATCTGCGTGTTATAGTGTTCTATGCACACATGATAATGTGTATTTGTATGCCTATCTGTATTTGTATATTTAAAAGCCTATCCGTGCTTTGTATTTGATTGCTGTCTAAATGAGTCTGTATAGGTATGTGTATGTCTTAGGTCTTATTTATATGTAAGTTTTATGTATTATTTCTGTAAGTTTCATGTCTATTTTGGTAAGTTTTATGTCCTATTCATGCAAGTTATATATCTTATTTTTGTAAGTTTTATGTCATATTTATGTATGTTATATGTTATGTGTGCAAGTTTTACGTCTTATCAATGCAAGTTTTGTGCATTCGTATATGTTTGTTTAGCTCGACACTCGCCCTCGGAACTGAGTCTCTCCCACCCACAGGTCATAACACAGCAACTGTGCAAACTCGTACTCCATACAGCGAGCTTTAAACAGTGCATAAACATCTCACATTCACCCACTTGCTGGTGGGTTGCTAAATACAGTATGCATTCACATCTCACATTCACTGACTTGCTTGTGGGTTGCTTTATTCAGTTTGCATTCACATCTCACATTCACTTACTTGCTTGTGGGTTGCTAAATACAGTATGCATTTACATCTCACATTCACTTACTTGCTTGTGGGTTGCTAAATACAGTATGCATTCACATCTCACATTCACTTACTTGCTTGTGGGTTGCTAAATACAGTATGCATTCACATCTCACATTCACTTACTTGCTGGTTCGTTGGTCACGGGTGTGGACAGTCGGACGAATGCTAGATCGTTCATGTATGAGGCGGCGTCGTAGTCTGCGTGCAGATACTCACCATCAAGGGCCACGCATTTGAACTGCAAGTGTTAAGGAGTGATGCGCTCATAACCATAGTGTGTGTATGGGTTATACTGTTCAGGAGTGATGCGCTAATAACCATAGTGTGTGTAATGGACTACAGTCTTAAGGAGTGATGCGCTCATAACCATAGTGTGTGTAATGGACTATAGTCTTAATGAGTGATGTGCTCATAACCATAGTGTGTGTATGGGTTGTAGTGTTAAGTAGTGATAGACTAATAACCATAGGCAGGTGTGTATGGGCTATAGTGATATGTAGTGATAGACTAGTAACCAAAGGTAGGTGTGTATGAGCTATAGTGTTAATGATAGACTAGTAACCATAGGTAGGTTTGTATGGGCTATAGTGTCAAGTAGTGATGGATTGTTAACCGGGGGCAGATGTGGTATATGCTAGGGAAAGGAAAGGATGAGAGCTCGCATACAGGTGGTCGTCAGCGGTGGGTATACCACGGGTAGTCATTGAAGGTAGGAATACTGAGCTGGTCACATGCTCTACTAGTCGGACCGGTGCACCTCTTACACCTTAGTTAGAGACACTGCTAGAATGTGCATACGGATATAGCTGTATGCGAATTGAGGTGAACATGACACGAAATATGGAGAATACAACCAACGGTACAGACTACAGTACTGAGCTGTCCTTTGTCAAAAGCATCACTACCTAGACTTACTACTATCTAGACTCATTCAATCATTCATATACATACATACATACATATACATATAAATATATATATATATATATATATAGCATACACACACATGTACAACTCATACACACCTGCGACGGTTGTAGAAGATCTGTCCCGCCTATACACGCCCGATCCACTTCGTGCAAGCAATGTCCACTGGTTATCACCCACTCCGGCGCTACCAGGGCACCACCGCATCTAAAAGATATGACAAAGACAGGTGTATGAATACATGAGGCACGCATTGCCGGCAACAGGCTCTTGGTCTGGTTATTTGTCCAGTACTGAACCCTCGCTTGGCTCAAGTGGGGCTGTGACTCTGCACTATATGTTAATCACACATAGTCTGCAACAGGCTCTTGGTCTGGTATCTGTCCAGTACTGCACCCTCGCTTAGCTTGGTTTCTGCTGTGACTCTGATCCGTGGGTGTGTAGCTTGAAAGGTCTGTCTGATGGATGTCTTTCTCTTGAAACAGTTCAGCAATTGTCGTACCATCACCAGGTCTCCGACTCCTCATACGGGGGAATCACTCTCGCTGATCCAGGCGCTGAGCTATCTATTTACTACAGTTGCACTCGTGTAGGTAGACGGTTGACTGCAGATATACTTGTACTACAGTTGCACTCGTGTGGTTAGACGGTTGACTGCAGATATACTTGTACTACAGTTACACTCGTGTAGGTAGACGGTTGACTGCAGATATACTTGTACTACAGTTGCACTCGTGTAGGTAGACGGTTGACTGCAGATATACTTGCACTACAGTTGCACGCGTGTAGGTAGACGGTTGACTGCAGATATACTTGTTTACCACAAACCAGTGTATCTAGCTACATCTGGCGCATACATATCCGCTGTGTGGTTCTACCCCATACATCCGTATCGAAGTATGTTTTTGGTTGCGATCCCTCGAGTCATAGTTGTTCAGTTGGGTGGCGTGCCTTAAACCACTTCCGTAGCATCAACAGTCGTGGCGGTGATATGCACTGATCACATGTCTTATACAGTGTATAATTGATACCGTTCTGCTCGATCTTTCCGAATAGTTTGTATTTACTTCGGGGGAGTGGCGTTGTTACGGTTGGCAGTTCATTGTAAAGTATGCCAGAGTTGTCCAACGAGTCGCAGACGGTGATCAACATATATATATATATATATATATATATATATATGTGTGTGTGTGTGTGTGTGTGTGTGT